CTCCAAACAGACACTGTGAATAAGCGCGAAGGTACCGCAGAAGGCAGATGCAGTAAAAAACAAAAAGTTGCTTTCATTTTATAAAAGATTAATTTTGAAATACAACCGTTTCCTGTTTTGAAGGAGCCCTAAAAGGGAATATTGGTATAATTTAAGATTTTGTTGACGTTGAGACTTCCATTTACATTTAAATTAATTTATTTGCATAATTGTCAGTTTAGGTTGAATAATTTAATACATATAAACCTTATCTGTATTAACATAATCTTTTCCTACATGTCCATTTAGATATAATGAAAATTTCGCAGGGAAGACGGAATCTGAATACCTTTCGCGTCTTACTTCCAGGATTTAGGGGAGGGGAGATCACAAAAAGAAATAGAATTAGTCGAGGAATGGTAAATGGAATAATTCGAAATATTGTTCGCTCGAGTTTAGGGCAGAAGAAGAATAAATCACCCCAACGACTTGACAGGTTATACTCCGTTATGGTATATTAGAGCTTTTGACAGACTGAAATCAATCAATGTAAAGCGACTCAGATCTGATCCAACAATTATTACTGAAATTTTATTATTTCTAGTATTCTGCGGCTGGTTGAATTAAAAATGAAGCTTCAGTACAGTCGACTGACTGAACTGAAATTATTGAACCGGGTGTCTTTTTAAAAATTTTATGTTTTGGAATAAGTATAAAGGGTCAGATCGGACAAAACATACAAACCATACTCTTGTGTATAAAAGTCATAGAAATCCATTTGTCTTAGACCAATTGAGAAAGTGATATTGCTGGAAGATTGCAACCTCAAGAGCTGACTGAAGTGAGACAAATTGTATTGAGAAGTACAGTTGGCAAAGTACTAAAAATATAGCAAACGGTATAGTCTGTAACAGTAGCTTTCTAATTTTCCTTTATCCTTTTTCTGTCGTCTCCATGGAAACAGTATTGTTGTCTGTCCTTAACTTCATTTTATTCCGCGCTCTGCGTCCTATTTTTCATAAAAATGACCGTTTGCATTAGACGGCGTAACCATTTGTTTCACTTTATCTACCCTTGCGATTGAAGGGATCACTTTAGCCACTCTTACTGCTAAAGAGAGACTTATCCTACAGTCTATTAAAATGCCAGTTTAACAGCTGCTATAAAATAAAATTAATTAATTGTGGCGACATGAAAATTTAGACAGAGAGCGCTAAAAAGGATATCATGGCAACAAGGAAACAGACACTTTCGAACCTTACAAGTTTTGGGCTTAGGAGGCAATAACCATATTACGTGATATATACATCTACATTTCATTGAACTAGGATAATTTAAGAGGTTCAAGTTTTTGAAGAATCAAGAATTGGTCCCGTATTAAGAATTGGTCCCGTATAAGAACTTCAATAACAATAGAAATTTCGTTGAAGTCCGTTATTGACGAGAATTTTTGCGTCGGCAAACGGCACTATTTCGTGCAAATTGTCTCATTAAAGGTTTAGGGTATCCTATAAAAAATGTTATTAAGCGGAAAAGCAAAGCGGTGGAAGCTTTCTCGGGGAGTTCTATATACCACATGTAATTAGCGTATTAGCCTATTGAAAATGGGTCAACTCCAATGACCTTAAATAGTAAACCCATTTTTTACATCCGCTTTAGGGGATTATTATTTAAGAACCCATTGAGAGGATGTGGTTTTTCATTTAATTCCCATTTAAATTTCGATTTACTTTAAATCAGTGAGAATGTCCATGGAAGGGGGTTTAAATTTAGTACTTGTAAGTTGGTTTCTTGTAAGCAAAATCAAGCGTATCTTTAAATTCTTCATGAGTGTTTGAATAAGGGTAGTTAAGAAACTAAGTAAAGTGGATTATGGATTAAAATTCGTTTATTTGTCTATATATTCTTGTTTTTAACTTGTTGGAGTTTCTTGGCCCTTTTCTTTATACGTACGCACTACTACAACCACTACCTGTACAAGATTGATTATTGCTTCGATCGTTACTGTAAAGAATAACGCGCCATATTTTTACTCGACATTTTTGTCTACATATTTAAGTGATTTATTTAGTAGTATTATAGGGTAAGTGTAAAGATTTGCGCAATGTTACATGGATCCGCCATTTTAAGTTACACTGAAATCGAAGACATCACGTGATACACTATTACCTACTGAACTACTTCGAAATATTTATGTATATATAAATAAATAAATATAAATATATTATTACGCAACCTTTTGGAGATTATTGCTGTATTGTGAATTGAATCGATTCTTCTGATTTTACGCACTCTACTTTTTTCAGTTTCAAAGAATGCATCTTCCGACCCTTCCATTTTGTCTACGTTACTTTTGTTGTTCCGAAGATTCATACATAGTATAGCTTTACTACGTCTCATATCCTTCATATTAGTTTAGTCTGTTTACCGATATTTAGTTAATTGCTTTTAAATTGTAAATTAAATTAAGTTAGGATTATGTTGTCGTTGCCCATTTGTAAACGACAGCTTGTTGTCCAGTCAACCACAATACACCATCTAACGTTCGACACTAGGGTACTCGAATACTACAAACTGTAATTAGCACTTAATAAGACCGAAAATTTAATTTACGTTAAGTCATTACTAGTAACGAGTGCATCGCAAAGCTCCCCCAAAATGAGACGGGCCGTATGTACGTGATTGTGAAACGAGCGTCCCCTTCGCAAGAGTGGTCTCCCAAAGAAACTCGAAGGCTTTCACGTATATGAGTAGGGGATGATTATTAAAAATCGTATTGTTTATATTTTTTACTCCTTCAATTATTTTATTCCTTTAGCTTTAGATTGTCAAGACCACAATAAAGATCTATTAGTCTGCCATGTTCCCCCTCCGGTAAATATTCTCCTTTCTCTTTTGAAATTTACCAAGACTAAATGGTTATCCTTTTTATTAACGAGCTCCTAGCGAGTTTATAATTTTGCGGTGTCTGCCCGTCTCTCCGTCCGTTAGCACGATAACTCATAAACGAATGGACCGATTACGATGAAATTTTGCAGGTGGATTCTTTATCAAATTTGTAGATCGGAGTTCGTGAATTGGCAATGTAGTCCAAAAAATAAGGAAGGCCCTTTTGACATCTCCGTGAGTTATGAACCGAATTGCATGAAATTCAATATGCGTATAGCTTTAGCCATATAAAACGCAATTCCAAAAATTGGGCCTAATCTCCATTCAACATTCACAGTGTCCTTTTCGCAACTCGACCATTTACAAACCGGATTGCAAGCTTTCTTATTTATGAAGGTATTTAAATGAAATTTGATACCTACATAACCACATGGAATAAAAGCAAATATAAGTCAGTTTCAAAATTTCGTTTTGCGCATAAATAAATAAAGGCAAATGTAGCGCCATTTTCCAAATTTGGTTTTGTGCAGGATGTGCAGTGCCCACTTTCTTATTTATGCAAGCAATTAAATGAAATTTCATACATATACACATAAAATAAAAGCAAAACTAACATCACGTTTAAAATTTGGTTTTGCACATGCTATAGCCATACCCAGGAGCTCGTTTTCTATATTTGTTTAGTTTATTTATTACTATAGTTCTTTTTGCTTCGTTTTGGTTAATGTACGAGAACTCCATTATTCCCTCGGCCCATCTCTACTTTGCCTGAGCTTACCGTGCACTTATTTAAAGGTAGTTTTGTTGCGTTTGCTCAAAGTGAACGTAACAAATTTGTTCAGATTGTATTTTGTTAAAAGGAGAAGGTGGGTGGGTCTTCAAAATGTAGGGTTTTATATTTTTAAGATCGCGATATCCATTTAGTTGTGTGTAGCTGTAGATGTAATTTGTTTAGCGTAGTGCATTTGTTCCTAAATTGTTTGAATTACATTTTATAATTAATAGAGAACTTGAATTATCCGGACGCTGCGGATGAAATGTACATTAAAAATATAAATTTTGGCGCTATAAAACTCTATTTCGGCAACTTGTGACTAAACAAGTCCTACTGGTTTCAGTTAAACCTATGAAATTTCAGTGCTTGCAGGATATGTGGCGCAGTTTTAAGTTATAGTCAAATTCTACCTCCTAAATTTAATATCCTCGTTTCCTGAGGGCAGTTCAAAAACAGAGACTGAATTGCTTCTATCTGAAATTGAAATTTTTCGCATTGTGCGAAAATCTCATCAAATATCATCGTCCAAATAATTCGGTAGACATGCTCCCTCGAACGCGTCTTTTTTAATGGATCGGTGTATACTAAACTGTTAGAACATCAACGACAGCAACAATAAATAGTGTACGTCAGTAGCAACGTATTATAACCGTGTAAGTATGGTCATTAATTATTTATGTACAAACAATTTAACTAATTAATTACAAGAACAAGCCCAACCGTACCCAACAAATGACAACACAATAGCTGTCTTCTTACTCTACGTTGTGAGCCTTTCGAAATAATAATGGTGATTATGGCAAGTCTATTACATCGCCATGCTGTCTCGGTTAATACGTCCATATTAAACAACGTAACGTATTTAAAGGCCAATTAACGTTAACATAACCACGTTGTGAGCTTAAGTAGATTTCCACATAAAATCCCTCAATACCGTGCGTATACCACATTCGGCTAGAAAACTAGGGAAAGTGCAGTAGGAAAATTATTTCTAAAAATAAAAAAAAAATAACTTTTATGCCCCAAGGTAGCAGGTGTATCAAGCGTTTGTCGCTTCTTAAATTTCCAATCTACTCTTAGTTGACCTTTTGTCCCTATAACAGGATTTCGTTTCCATGGCGAGGAATTTTCAATTATAATTTTCCCTCGTTGTTACGTTGTACGAAAACACAAGTCTGTGAGTATAGCTTTACGAGATTATTTTAATTAATGTGGGGAAAAGTTTCAAGTGTAGGTATTCGTTTGAGATTGTGACGCATAAATCAATTACATAGGGCTTTTGATATGAGATTTTTACGTCAGTCTGTGATAGGTCCGTAGGTAATAAGTTTGGCGGTTACTAATAGAATCCACTCACCCTTTGATCGTTGACGTACCACGTTATGTTAGGAGCAGGTGATGATGGAGGTGCCGCGCAATCAGCTATTAACGGCCCTCCACGTTCCAAGCCACCTCTATCGACGGAAACAACGGGCGCTCCTTCGGGAACAACTGAAACAATGTGTAACTGGTTAAATGCTTGCTAGGAAATGTTTCAAACCCAAAGTAGTGTTATAGAAAACAAGTTAATGGGAACGAGTGGAATGTATGTTCCAACGCCAACATTAATTTCACATTTTTATTAAAGAGTTGCCTGCGTCATTGCTATTATTGAAATCCACTTCCTATAACACTGTATAGAGTGTGTAGTAGCACGATTTGCAAACTATCAGTTTCTTGGAATAAATGCGGTTATTAATTATGCAGTACACATATGATTACTTATTCAATGGTTAATATTCAGTCAATTCTAAAAATCTGACAATCTGATGAAAATATTACTATTCAGCGTAGATTCCAATAATTTTCATTTTCGATTATGAGACTTTCGTTACAAGTGAAGAACTATAAAAGTAAACTACCTATAATACCTATTGTCAAGATATAAAGTGTAATTATTGCCGAAAATTTGTATAAACGTTCCATAAGTAAAAGTGAATTTCACACTTACTCTACGCTAAACATTTTAATTAAAAAACGAAGGAGTTTATAGGTATTACTGGAACAGACGAAGAGGAGTACTATAAACAATTTCAAGGGCAGATCTAATAAGTCTTATCACTTTATGTCAGGAAACTACGGCCTACAACATAATCAAATCAGAACTTGTTGCATTTGTTCCATAGTTAAGCTCGAGGCCTGGCTCGAGGTTTAGCTTCAATTTTTGTTTATGATCTGACGCCCTTTTTTAGTTTTTCTGATGGTATGTTAATGGGTGTACGTAGAAGCTTACAAGCCCTAATACATAAATGTTCGGATACCCACGATTTTAAAAATATTGTAACTTAAAATATTATTGTTGTGTTTTTTTATTAATTTTTGTCTGACTGATATTTAGTAACTACAATTTTATATTGTAATGCAAAATTAATTAATTACAAACTTTGAAATAACACAAAACTACGTAAAATTAGAATTTAATGTGACACAAAAATGTTCGGACACCACCCCTTAATAATGAGTTACATCCCCTTTGGCTTTAATAACAGCCTGGATTCGTGTAGGTATGGTCGCCACTCGCCACAAGAGCTTTACATTTATCGGTGCCAAAGGTATCCCAAATCTCTTGTAATTTTTTCCTCAAAGAAGCAATATTGCTAATATTGTGGTCTTGTAACCATTTCGTAGTCGTTTTTGCCGTGTGACATGGTGCTCCATCTTGTTGAAAATCAAAGTCTGCATCAGGTGATAATGTCCCAAGTGAAGGCAATAAACTTTGTTCTAAAATTGCTTGATATTTCTGAGCATTAACAATACCATTTATAAAGTGCAATTGTCCCATCCCATTTGCAGACATACTGCCCGACACCATTACACCACTGGGGAATTTTACAGAACGCTTTAAGCAATGCTTCGTTCTTCGTTCTGATAACTCTTTTTCGATTATCGCCCACACTGATATCAAATCGAGATTCATCACTAAAAATGATTTTTTTCCAGTCTTGATAAGACCCCGCCTGCCGTTCCCGAGCCCACGGTAACGTCTTCTTTTTTTTTTTTCATTTGAAATTAAGACGCTTCAACTACGTGGTCATTAGCGCCGTGTGATACATGTTGACACAGTATGTTATATTTCTAGTTTCGTTAGTTTGATAAATCTAATTATGTTTGCTATATGGTATTTGTTGTTAGGTTGGTCGTCTGATCGTTCGTAATGTTACAATTCCTTCGTTCGTTTTCAAAAGCATTGCACTCGGTTATTAGGTGATTTATTGATATGGGGGCTTGGCATTGTTCACACATTTTTGGTGGCTCTTTCTTCATTAGGTGGCCGTGGGTAACTCGGGTATGTCCAATTCTCAGCCTTGTGATGTCCACCTGGTCTTTTCTTCGTGTCAATTTATGGTAACCGCCATCGAAGAATGTAGTGTCTCTAATTGATCGTAGTTTGTTCGTCAGTGGGTCGATAGCTTTTCATTGGATTTCCCATTTTTGTCTAAGGTTTTTGTGGATACTTTTTTTGAGGTCGTAGGTTGTGAGCACTTTTTCGTCGATATTTGGTTTTTCAGTTGCTTCTTTGGCTAACTTATCTGCGGCTTCGTTTCCTGCGATACCTATGTGTGATAGGATCCAGATGTAGTCCACAGTCTTGCCGTTGTTGTGTACATCCTCATTTAAGTCGGAGATTTGTTTAATTAGGGGGTTTGGCGATAAAAAGTTTTTTATGGACTTCAGTACACTTGTCGAGTCGGAGAGAATCTCATACTGTTTATTTTCACTTCGTTTTATGTATTTTAGGGCTTTTATTATAGCTACCGCTTCGGCTGTGTAATTTGTTTTTCTGATAAAAGAGGTTTTTCTTTGGCCTATTTACAAAAGTATTTTCTAATGCTCAATAATTTTAACCTAAAGACCAAGTTACTTTATAAAAATGCAAATCTGATTTATGGATCCAGGTACAATCAAGCACTAACGAAGCACAAACGGTTGGCACAAAACATTTCATTTATGCTTCCAAAAGAGGGGTCGGAAAACTGGTACCCTGTACTCAAAAAGGGGTGGACGTGCTGGTTTTCTTTTTCGTGCACAATCAAGCACTAACGAAGCAGGAAACACAGACGATTTGCATGTAATATTTCGTTAGTGCCTCCATTACCGGGCCAAATTCGTGCACCCGAACATAATTTCAGCTTCTTTGAGTTTATAAAGGCGAAATACCTTGTCTTCCCTTCAACGGAATTCTACAATACTATTTAATGCCACTGAAACATAGCAAACAACTATCGTTAGCCGATGATGATAACTTTGCTGTATATAAACGCGTTAGTTTTAGCACAGATTCTGTGGTTTTAGTTATTTCAGTAAAAATCGTTTTTCGCGCATTTCTGGTATCGAGTGTTAAACGACGTAGACGACATGTGTAATAGTATATAATACCGTTCCCAGTATCGACTCTTGGGACACTCCAAACAGCTCTTTCAAATATGAGCAAGACAGACTGTTACTTTTTGCAAATGGCCGAATGTCGAATCACTATTTACTACTAAAATTACCCAGTGCGAATTTCATATCTCAAAAGTAAACTCCCAAATTGCAATCAATGAATGTGATATTAGGAATATCAACTTATACTGTAGAAGATTCGGCTATTAATTTGAAAAAGTTTTTCGATGGCACATAAATCAATTAAACCCTGGGTGTAACATTTCATCAATTAACTACGTCAAAATTTACTGGAATATCAATCAAATCTGTCGAGAAGGTGTCGATGTCGTTCCATCGACCACTCCAAAAAAAACTGGGCCGATTACATACATTCTTGCTGCACCAAAATTAGTATCTAAAAAGAAACTGGAAAAACAATCTCGTACAAATTAATTGTATTCCGTTACAGTTTGCGTAACGCAAAAATGTGCTGTTTGAATGACAGCCACAGAATTCACCAAACATGCAATTCGCAATTAGGCCATAGTCGCCCTCATTTAAGTTCGTTTCTGCTGGAATGTAAGAGAGTTCTTCACTTTTTAATGCTCAATCTTTGCTAGAAAACCAATTTTACGCTCTGTACGTACGTAGTAAGTGCATCGAAATTCTTTTTATTTTGTTAGTATTACTATTCGCGAAATTTTCATTTGCTTTATACGGATACCATTCAATCTGCTCTTAAAAGCGCGCATACATTTATTTTTAGCTGTAGAGATACATTTTATCAGCAAAAACGCAACGTAAAAATATACGGAAGCGCTGCAAGCTCAACATACCTATTAAATTGGGTCAAAGTATTAGCACAGATTTAAAATCTGTGGTATTAGTATATTAAAACGGTAATTTATAATGTGAGCGATTAAGATAGGAGTGACTATTATAATCGCACGTTTTACGCTATTTTGTAGTCGAGTAGGCACAAAACAGAAAATGGCAAGTGTGCTAGTTGCTATGACTTTTTTTCCAAACAATTCAACTTTTTCACAAAAAACTAAAACATGGAACCTTCATCATCAAGAGACGAAATTAGTGAAAAAGTGGAAGAAGCAGAGAGTTTGTTTCCCAGAAGATCTGAATCTGAAAATTTTTAAATTACATGTGCGCCTCTAGTGCTAATCGGAATCGCGAATAGCTAAATATTGAAATAGTCGTTTTTTTGAATTGTTTCTTTTATCAATTATTCAAAAGCCTTTCAGCCGATTTAAATAAAATTTGGTAGGCTTATTTGTCGTCATAAGGGTCTTCCTTTGGTAAAAACCGATTCACAATTTTTACATGTTCTGGAAACCTTTTGTCTAATAATGTTAAAACGAAGTGCATTGTTAGCACCACGCATGAGTTAATGGTACCGGCATGTATTTTAAAAAGTTTGACCAAAAAACCAAAAAAGGAACTGTGTGGAAACCGAGGTGGAAACTGTTGCATTTCGAAGCATTCAATGTCAGCTTGTCACTTTCAATTCCACTTGTACCACCTTAATTGTCGTTTGATACTGTCAGCACGTTTTTAATATTATAGCGATTAGCGATTTCGCCATTGAATATGCACTCCATTCAATGGTTTCACACAAGTGTAAAGTACTTTTGATGACATTTTATTTATTTTATTTATATTTAAGGCGAAAACCTTTTTTTTCTATTTTAATGAAGGTATCTAAACAGAAACGTTTCCGATTACTCCATGAGGCACAACTATAATAACATTAATGCTCAACAAATGTAAGAAATCTGAACGAAAGAATCGTGAATGTATTGTTGTATAATATTTAAAATAATGGACTGTATAATTTTTAATTAATGTTTGCACTTACCCTTTTTTTGAAGAAATTCCTTCGCCACAAGATGAATATGGAGAAGGAATAAGGTAAATGCAAATTTTCAATAATTGTTTTCAATTTCCAGTTCGTTATTCACGCTTTTAACAATCACATTGAACAAATTGCTATTATTTAACAACAAACTAGACGTGTAAGAGACTACTTATTTGCACGACGGACTAAATGCAATTGACCAGTTATCTACGCGACCCTGGCAGATTACGAAATTGTGGGAAATAAAATATTCATTTTACCATGATGCGAAAACCAAACATGTATAAAAATGGGGCCACGACCTCTAGAAATCGAAACAGTATTAAACGCCGGATTGTAATAGGTAAAGGGCAGATAAAGTGAATTTCCGAATTACCAAATATCCTTACATCTGGAAATCCCCTTGAAATTAAATATTTATTTGGACTACAATCGGATGCTTTACCTACGGGATACATGTCAGAGTTTATTATTGGAACACCCTTGAATTCGCGTGTTTTGATTTTGCCACATTCGGTTTTGCCCTCAAGATAAAATAGAATCCTTTATATTCGTTATCCCTTATTTTATGAACGCAAAAATTATATACACGCTACAAAAGTAATCGTAAAGGATTTACAAAACGAGCATTTCCATATTAACGGCCTTTTTTCCGAACAGATTAGCTACCCCAGCCAATTTCGTTTTCACCCATTTAACCAAAATCATGACAAACCGTTAGTTGAAAAGTGCCTTCTATTAATATTTCGGAAACATACGCTTGCAACTTTGACCGTTAACAATCAATTTTTTCACGCGTGTTCCACACATTACAAGATCTACGCAAGAATAATCCATTTTTTTACACTTGATTTCAAGTTATTTTTATAGGAGGTATCTTCCGCTGAAATTTCAGAATTGAGCCTATTTCTTTCATGTTATTATTTTTACCCAAAATCGTCCAGAAACCTTCATTTTCATGCCTACTTTCTGTCAGGAAATTTTAGTTTCCATGAGAGAGGCAGAGCAGACTACGTTTCCTGCCGATTGTCATTTTACTGGCCGCACCTGTCACTATACGTCACTTTACCGGTCGCATTTGTGACATTTCCAAATGTCTATAATGACTCCTGTCATCACTGGCATATTGACATTAATCAAAAGTTCTATATAAAAATACGATTTCGAGCAAAATTTAATATAAAACTCGTCAGTAAAATGACATTACCTGACTCGGAAATTAAGGTAGCCTCGCACTTCAATATTTCCTCGCCAGTAGTGTATCATTTTCCGGACTTTTATGTAAATATCTATTTTGTATAGTAAGCAAGAAAAATCCGAAGAAAGGTCTGTCTGCGAATGCGCAACGTCATTTTTGGTCCGAGAGTTGCATTTGGATTTATAGGAAGCATTTTCTTCTGGCATTCGAGACGAATTGGACCACAAATTGTAGCAATTTATTTCCTCATGTATGTATTAATTATTTTTGGTTCACGGTCACTGCATTAATTGTTTGAGATTCGCTCGCATACTTTCATTGTAACTGTCATTGTGTTTACTGGCGTCACCTGAGTGTAGGGTGATGGTGAAACTCATGAGGTTTTATTTATTATTTCTTTATTTTTAGTCTTTACTCATAAGTCGACGGGGTTACAGCCAAGAGCCGCTGTACCAACCCAACCCACTATACATTTACAAAAATCGATGCCTGAACCTGGATTCGAACCAGTGCGGCGGTCTGGCTTCCATGCCACTGCGCTACACAGGCCGCTTCTAATTGAAATTTGCAATTATAATTATTCTGATGATTGAGCCTATATTTTGTAGATTTCCGGTTTAGTTTTCTGGTAGCAAGTTAAGGACCCTCCTTCGGGATTTCTCAGTCTACAGTTAAGAGTCGAGAACAGTCCCAGCATTAGGTGTCGTAACTCATTTGGTCACAGTTATTTTTCACCCCTGAGACTGTCTCTTCAAGGCGAAAATGTTGGTTGGCAAATAGCAAGTGTACTGACTTACAGCAAACAACTCAAACTTCCACAAATGTTAATGAACACCCAAATAAAAGTCTTGCATGGAAACAATACCGGTCACAGAACACCTGATGCCGGTCTAAAATCGTATAGTTTAATATGAAAAATATACGACAGTTCACCCGCATCAAGTGTTCTGTGACCGGCATTCTTTCCTGGCTAGACTAATATATAAATTTATCTTGTGGCCAAGATCATGTAATCAAAACATAAACATAGATTGTGCAAGCATTACACCAAACACGTAAACGATTTAAGAAAAAAGGTAAACGGTATCAAATACGTAATTCTGCATTGAGGTTAAATCAAGTCAATTTCAATGGAAAATTATAAAAAATGTAACATGTTCTATACAAAACACAAATATATTATAAGTAAATGGTGAAGTATAAACTAGGAGGAGGAATTTGTCCATGAACTAATTATTTCTTTGGCCGTTACTAAGTATTACAGTTTTTGTACGTTATTTAGTAATGCTCAAAGATTTTGATGTCCCTACTTAGACATGAATTTTTCACGAAATTCATCGCAACGCACTAAGATATAGAGTTTGTTGTATTCACGTATGAAAATTTAGTTGTTGCTGAGAAGGTAGCTTTGTAGTAACTTGCAGAAGAAACTTACTACATCTCGTAGTAATTGCATTACGCCTGTACACGACGACATAGGGGAATTTTCAATGTGAAATGCACTAAAGGAAGGTGTGAACGTATACCAAACATCCACAGTAGTTTTTGCTTCTCTTGTATGCATAATTAAACCAGACATTTCCTACCTACAGTTTCTACAGGAATATGTGTAAGTGCCACCCCTCTATGCGATGCACTTTTTTACGAGCGAAAATGTGTCAAGAAAATGTTGTTTTTCATAATTTAGCATCAGGTAATATGAGCGATGAACCGAAATTGTTCAAAGTAAGATTAAGGTGGTTTCTAAATTATTAAATGCGATACACAATTTAAACCTGGCAGGAAAGTGCGTGGTGAGCGCGTGTTTGCTCGTAGATGGTGTTGAAATATGTATAGTTTCATAGCGAAAATGGAACTGTGACGGCGGCGTCACGTACCTTCCACGTTTAATGCGAAAGAAAAATACTATTAATGCGGTGACAGGGCGGCGACGACGACGACGCTTCAGCTGTGACAATACCATAAGTAAGGGACGACTGCTCCATATTATGTAAGCCACAATTAGTTGGGACGGCTTAAAATTAACACTAGCTGCAAACCACAAACTTCCCAACTAATTTCACATAACTAAGTTAGTTCATATGAGAGGGTGGAGTTGAAACCTAATTTATATGATGGATATGTAACTTTGTTCTCGGTGTACTGTATAATTTATTTATGTGGAACCAAAAATATCACGCTAAACAGAATGTCGTTTGCTGTGCTTCTCACCGCATCCATCGATTCTTGTGTCACGCAAATTGAAAAATTTCAATTTCATGTCGTTCTTGGTTAAAAATTTTTCTTTCATGCTCTAATGTTGAATAGGAGCGTGTGATTAAAATTCTCAGGGGTAGCTAATGGGAGTAACCCCCCCCCCCGTACATGACCCCAGGGGGAAACAATTTTTGTAGTAATTTGCCTGAATTTTATTGACTTTTTGTGGATTTGTTTAAACCTCATTTAATTTTTAAATTTTTCATAATTTGAGGAATTTTGTAAATTTTGTATTTGAATTCCTGATTTTTGACATTTTTGTGCATTTCCTGTGAGGCTTAAGATCATTAGATTATTTACTTCATAGCGGTGCTCCCTCCGGCACCTCCTAATATTCACCCAGGCACGAGATTCCGCGCGAAATTTACTAAAAGATAAGTACAGTTTTCCAATTTCATCTTAAAATCACCGTAAATTTGTCCTGAAAAACGTTTCACGCCGCGTCAACGTCAACATAATTTATACATCCTTTTGTACTAATGGGCCCTACTACGCCCTAAAGGATGGGGATGACAGCGGGCGACATCTAACGGAGGAATTTTACAACACTAAAGCCCCATTCACATAGGTGGTAGTGCAGTGCTGTTGCGGTGCGGTGCCTTTTATAAAAGTTTGAAATACGCATATCCATATGACAATTCACAATGACATGTTCAGTGCAGACGAATTGCAGCCGCGTGCCGAAAGTATGTAAACTTCAAACTTTCTGCACTACCGTTAGCAAGCACCAATAGAAGTGCAACATATTTGTTGCTGTTGTCGTTGATTGGTCATACTTGTGTAGGCGGGCCAATTTTGCGGTTATTGTGAAAGCAAATGTCAACTTGACAGCACCGACTCGCACCGCACAACAAGGCAACGGCACCGCACTACCACCTATCTGAATGGGGCTTTATTACAGGGTGTTATGTTACGGAGTTTTCCAAATCTTTTTAAATTGCTTTCCTAGGCCTCTTTTTGATCATACTTCTCTGTTGAAACTTTTTAGGAACTTTACGGGGATTTCTGTGCCCTTTACAGAGCTTTTTTGGAACTGTATAACCTTTCTGTGGCTAATTGGGCAGAGCTATCTCAGATCGTCTACCATTGAAAGGAAGCTAGCAAACTGTAGGCAGAAGGAATCTCTTGAGAACGTTTTTAAAACCTTCCTAGAGGTTTATTAACGTTTTCCAGAGAATTCATCCACTTACTAGGATAATTGCCCTGGTATTTTCAAATCCTTCCTAGATTTTTTTAGACTACAAACCTTTCTAGAGCTCTTCTTAGAGCTTTTCAAATTTCTACAGCTCACAAAAAGTTTTTGAAACGCACTTAGAAGACTAGAAAGTTTCGGATGGATTTATGCGTGTTTTCTAATTTTCTAAGACACAAAATAATGTTTGTCAAGAAATTGAATTTCCGTTCCGAGAAGTGGTTGATGCTGAATGGTACGGTAAGCATTAAAGTGACGCGCATAAAACATTGTTTATAGAAGTACCATTGGTCAATGAAGCTATAATTTCACCTCAAAGTGTAATGCAAGGTAATTTCTTTCCATTGACCAATTTATTAGTTGAATTAAAAAATTATGGGTCAGGCTAATATTGATTATTTTTATTTGAAATTACGGATTGCCCATTTATGTGAGCGGCTAACGCTAATTATTTTAAATTTCGATAAAAGTATTAACTAATCCTTTTCCGCTTGCCTCTTTTTTTGGTCTATCTTTTAATTAAATCATCCCACTAACATGCTTTGAAGCAGTTCAGAGAAATGGGTACTGGTTGTGGTTATTGCACCTTGCTTGCTTACTAGCTTACCCAGTAAAGATGTAACCGGTCTCTTTCAAGAGTCTTTAGGATAGAAGTGAAAAGGGTGCAGGTAGAGCAACGTTAAAAATGGCCAATACTTGGAATGACACAATAAAAATGTTGCGGCCACTGAAATACCAAAACTTCTTTATCTTTTGACAACTAAGGAGTTCACTAAATATAGTGCTTGTATCCGGCAAGCATTTTCAAAACG